GACATTTAGGATTAAGGGAAAATTTAAACATTCTTTTTTTGACATCATCATGTGAAAAATTTTAATCATTTATTTATAAATCAACCGTCATAATTTTAATAAAAAAATTATAAAATGAGAAAATAAAATTTTTCATTTTAAATAATTTCTCTCCAATAATCTATGAATGAAAGACTATAATCTTCTGCAAGATATGTATACATGGTCATATCAAAACAAGAAATGAGAAAATTGATTTTCGAAAATTTTAGATAAAATAATCTATCCCTTTTATCTAGTATTTAAAAGCTAAAATAGCATATAGTTTTTCACAATTCACAATTTTTGGAGTTTCAAAAACTAAACAAAACATGCCAGTTCTAGAGTGTTTATAGTTGCACAACGATTTATATAGGGAATGTGTAAAGTCTAAATAATTGAAGATAAATTACTTATCCATCCAATAATTTGTTAAAGTTGAGCAAAAATGTGCCAAGTGATATCAATCTTTTTTAATATAAAAAATATATACATAATTATGTATTACTAAATGTTTATTTTTCCATTCAAATTACAATCTCAATTTGAAATTAATATGAGGGAAAAATATTACTCCCACAATCGGAGGTAAAGTTATTTTTAACAAAATCAAGACCATTTTATTTTGGGATTTAAAAAAATACATGTTATTTAAAAAAAAATTATTTCTCTTTATAACATGAATTTTATATCAATATCTTTTTAGAGTTGTAAGAAATAATTTTATCTCCTATTACAGATAAAATATTAATCCCTTAGTATTATACTATTATTAGATTAGTTATGCTAATGAGTCATTAAATGGTCATCGTAAGGCGTGGAAACGTGGCAAGGGTAAGAGCGTGCCATGTTGGCGAGTTCACGGACATTTGGGGTCACTCTCTATCAACTTGCTCTCTTTTTAAATGCAGCGCCTCACCTAAGCCACCCAATCTTTTGGCCTATTGCTTTCTACTCCTCCTTACCTGTGAAATTCTTCATAAGAAAAAGTTGAAACACACCGTTTCAATTTAAGAAAAAAATTTAAAAATCTGACATGTACATATATCTTCAAATTAATTCAGCATTGTTTTTAGATATTAATTTTTTCAAAGATAAATTAATTTTAATTTCCCAATCTTATATTAAAAAAAAATTATGATATGGTTATGTAGGAAGATCACAACTATACAAAGATAAATTAACGGTATAAATTTATAATTATCTATTTTAATAATTTTTCTCTCTTCCTTTATTATCATTGATCCATCTTTATATAATTATGATTTCTCATATGACTATATCATGTTTTTTTTAACATAGAATCCAGATCATTTATACTATCAAAGCTAAGTCAAATTTTATGTAATAAGCCGTTTTGACACAAAATAAATAAGCAAGTATATATATATATATATATATATATATATCTTCAACAAAATTTTATTTATGTAAAGTTTCATATCTCATTGTAAAAAAAAAAACTATATTATCGTTGACGGATGCTTTTTTATTTCAAAAATAAAATAAAATTTACAAAGCCTATTATACAAAAAATGTTATTTGCACAATAACCATGAAATAAATTTTAGGATTTTCAAAATATCAAAAATCGATCCAATCCAAACCGAAAAATTAAATTGGATCGGATCAGATTTGTAAAAAAATTCCAACCGAATGAATGATTACATGATCAAACCGAAAAGATTGGATTGGATAATTTTTGCTTCTAAAACTGATCCAATCCAGACCGCGAACACTCCTATATTTATATTCAGATGAGCTTCTATCTAAAATAATCACACGTAAGAAATGTTCAAAACAACACTAGTGCAAAATATTTTATCATTTTATGCTTAGTGAGGCAGGCGTTCTGAATATTGATTTCTGGGTATTAAAATTCGAAAATAATAGCTGTGGAATAACTGAAAACCGTTATATTTTAAACAAGTCTTGTGGTACCATAGACAGTACAAAAGCAATATACATTTTAATATTTTCATACATTTTTAATTATTTAATAAAAAAATAAAATTAACGTTTATCTTATGATAAAAATAAAATTATTTCCTGAAATTTCAAAATGATGTTATTTTGGATTTTGAAAAAAGAAGAAGGTATTTTAACAAAATAGATGATATAAAAAATTATTAAAATACCTTTTTTTTCTAAACTTGAAAACGATATTGTTTTAGGATTATTGAAGATGAATTTATGGCTTTAATATTTCTACAGTGAATATAGATAAATTATTTGCATTCATTCCCAAAATGACGTTGTTTTGGATTGAAAGACTACAAAATTATAATGTGAAAGACTATTATAACTCTAAAATAAATTATAATTACAAAAATACCTTAATTTTTATTCCAAAATGATGTAATTTTGGACTCAATGTATATAACTTATCTACTTTGACTACAGAAAAACGAACCCTAAATTTATATCATATTGTAGGAGAAATATCTTTTCCATAAAAAATTTATGCTAATTTCATTAAAGGTTCGTTTTTTCTGCAGTTACTGCAGATAAGTTATCTTTAGTAAGCCTAATACGACGTCGTTTTGGGGTGAATCATGGTGTTTTCATAATTTTAATTTATTTCAGGGTTATAATAGTCTTTATATTTATAATTTTTTAAGATTTCAATACCAAAACGACGTCATTTTGGGAATAAATGCAGATAACTTATCTGCAGTAACTGTAGAAACATTTTTTCCTTTGAAGGTAAAGGATTTCTCCTATCACCGGAGATAAAGTTATCTCCAGTGAGCTCAAAACGATGTTATTTTGGGACGAAAATTAAGGTGTTTTTGTAATTATAATATATTGCAGGGTTATATTAATCTTTATCATTATAATTTTTTAATCCTATAACCTAAAACGATGTCATTTTAAGCTCATTCAAAATAATTTATTTCCTATAATTGTAGAAATACTTCTCCCTTGTTTATTTGATATGTTATTTACACAAATGGAGTATACATCACAAATTTCACATCATAACCATCCACTTCTCTATTTATCTTGTCTGTCGTTTTCTCCCGCAATCAATGGCCCATGTCCTCCTGTAACGTTTATATGCGCAAAAACATATATAAGAAGCATTATATTCCTTTATTTTCCACTGCACTTATTTACCCTCCTTTTAATTTTAATATAATTTTAAACTTTTCCTTATATCATACCAAAAACAATTTTTAAATTTTGATTCATGACCACCAAATAAATATAATTATTGAAGTACAAGAAACAAATCTTAAGCTGTGCCAAAAAAAACCTTAACTTTTTTTAGAAGCAGGAAATCACATTTTGTTCTGACTGCCCATATTTACAAGTCAACCACTTGGGTCTACTCTTAAAGTCTATTTCTAAATTTTTCTAGAGGGCAGCATAGAATCTATTTTCCTCCTCCATACACTGCTGCTCGTGACAGAAGCAGTGGGTTCAGCATGCCTAGTCTGGAAAGGCTAGGCTGGTTAAACCCAGGCTAGGCTGGTTAAAGGTGACACCTCCTCAACTCTACATGGAGGCATCCCCTCTCTAAAAGGACCACTCTCACACATTGTGAGGATCTTCTTCTCTACTCACTTTATATGCAGTTACTCTACATAAATGGAGAGTCACGTTAGCCACTCTCACACACTCCTCCTTGATACACATATATGAAAAGCTTTAAAGAGTCTTGGTTTATACCATGGCTGCTAAGAGTACCCCTAGATCAATATACTACATCCTCCAAGGGTACATCTATGAACCACCACCGATACAACATTTAATTGTTTCAGTGTGACATTAAGTTTAAAGTAATATCCCGTTAATTATAAGTACATGGTGGTGAATGTTAAATAATTAAAAAATCTGCTCTGCAACGCTACAAAAATGAAGCAAAATAATAGCAATGTTAATAAAATTGCTTCACTGCAGAATTGCTTCTTACTAAATAGGTGCACATGAAGCAACGAAATTGCAATCCTCACATGAAAACTTTCGAAGCGAGTATTATTAACCTCAATGAGACTTGCCCGTGACTCTTGCATTGCATATCATTGTCAATAATTCTTAGACATAGACTTATGGGCTTATAGAGACTGTCACCGTGCATGGCAACAATGTTTCCTTTTCTACTATTTTCCCTCAGTGAACAAGATTTGCAATGAGGGAAGATCAGTAACAGCAGCACAAGGTATCAACTACTAAAGGCACAGAGATTGGATTGCATAGGTTCATCAGTGAATCAGCACTTTGATTACATATTATTCGTTTCTGTAAATTTGAAAACAATCTTCGTGATATTTCAATCATTTCATATTAACAGGAACTACTTCATTAAGGTCAAAGCAGTTTCATTATTTTCTTGTGCACGCTAGTTTCTGTGTTTTGTATTTTCATATTCGTATGTTGGCATTTTACAACCAGCATTAGAAATTCTGTGAATTCAATCATATACTAGACTCATTCGAAAATAAATTTTGATCTTCTTAAGACTCCTCAAACCTGTTAATCTGAAACATTGACGTGCTAACCCAATTTTTAACCGTATCTCATACTAACCAAACTCAAGTTATTTACTAAGCCTAGCATAAAATTTCACCCAATCCAATAATAAAGAGTTTCGAAAAGAAAATGTTAAAAATATGTTGCTAGCATTTCTATACCGATAAATATAGTTCAAATAATGTACAATTCCACATTAGTTTTCTAAATGCTGCAAGTGCACCATTCCTCCACGAAACAAGCATGTGTGATGGTGTAAAATTTTCCGAAGCAGTATTGTACTCTATCATCGGCATTAAACATTTTTCTGTTAGTTTTATTTTTAAATAAAAGAAAATTTGGTGTCAAAAGACTGAAATAGGTAACAAATTAGTACGCCCAGACAAAGATGCAACAATACCCATGTTCTGGAGAGACAAGAATTACAGCTTGAAAAACTGCTTCCCAAAAATTTAAAATAAAAAAAATCCAAAATTGAATTATCTGAACCAATGAAAATGAGGCCTTCTCGAAAACCATTTACTATAATGTTTCCAGATTACAATTAGCGCACTGTATTCCACCACCAGCACTCTCCAAATCCAACATTCATCGGCAGGGAAAAAAGGAATATAAAAAATATAAGACAAAGGCGAGGAAGGAAACACAATGAAAACCCACCTCAAAAAAATACACAACAATGAATAAGAAAACACCCAAAACCCATAAATTTTCTTCCCAATGAACCTTCTAATCGTGAGTGGCATCAATGGATCTTCCTGTCCTGGCCTGTGAGATTCGATTAGCATAAATGGTGACCAACTTCAATTGTGTGCTGTTAAGCCCTTGCAAATATGGCAAGAATTCTTCCCCAAGCATGATATAAATATCCACTAGACAGAAAACAACAGTCTGTACCATCCACCATTAACATAAAATGAGAATAATGAAAGAGTCCAGTTATAAAAATGGAGAAAAAAGACACACCAAAACATGCCAACAATTCCAGCAATTGAAATAATACCAATCCTCTCAACATCAACATCACCTTTATCCCAAATTAGTTGGGGAATACCAATCCTCTCATTCAAAGAAATTTATTTTAGATAGAGTCAGTAACATTTATCATCCATTGTGTGTATTATTAGTTAATCATCTTGAAAAACAACTAAAATTTAATATTCAATATTTGAACCTAAAAGAACAAAGAGAACAGTTGACTGACCAGATTTGCCACATCAAAGGAAAGTGCATAGCATGTTTTGGTGGCTCAGGTATACCAAACCATTAACACTTACACAAGGTTTGACAGATGGAAATGATAACTTTTTAGCAAAGATTATATTTCGTTAGCTAGAGTAATTTTTGTTTAAATACAAGGTGAATGTGTACCCAAAAAAAAAAAATACAAGGTGAACTGAATGGAACAATCATTCCCATTATCATGCCATTCTATTCATACATTTGGTCAGCCAAATTAGGCCACATTGCCAATGTTTTAAATATAACATAAAACCATTCATATGCCTTCACCCAATAGCTTAAACTATTGGGAGAAATTGTCTAGAGTTCCATCTGTGCCACCCCCATTCTTCTAATTAAAAAATATGGAATTTTAGCACAAGATAGGTGGGCCTGTGTATTGTCCACGCTTCATGTCCAGAGAGCTCTTACGTGTCCGACACGATCCGACACGCCGACACAGTGTCCGACACGCGGTCAACTTTTCTGACACGTTGACTATTTCGACACACGAATTTGACCCTGTCTAACACGGTCAAATGGCATTTTCGTAAAAAACATAATTTTAAAAAAAAAATTATATTTTAGAAAAATAAAATATATTAATAAAATAAAATATTATTAAAAAAGAAATAAAATTTAATAAAAACATAATCCTATCCTGAAAATGTAAAAACGTAAACCTATTCTTCTCTGATCTCTCTCTGTCGTCTCGCCTCTTTCTCCTCTCCTTCATTGTCGTCTGGTCTCTCCTCTCCTTCATTATCGTCTAGTCTCTCCGTCTGGTCTCTCCGTCTGGTCTCTTTTTCCTCTTTCTCTCTCGGCTGTCGCTGTGGTCACTGGTCTCTTTCCCTCTCTCACTGAGTCGCTGTGGTCTCTTTCCCTCTTTCTCTCTCGGCTGTCGCTGTGGTCACTGGTCTCTTTCCCTCTCTCGCTGAGTCGCTGTGGTCTCTTTCCCTCTCTCGCTGAATCGCTGGCCTGTGGTCTCTTCGATTCTGGTTTGAAATTTTTTTATTTTTTTTTGTTATATACTGGTTCGATTTACTGGTTGCTCTTTTGATTTATTGATTATATTTTTTTCTAGTAACAAAATGGTGGTCTTACACTAAGTCCAAAAAAATGGCCCAGTAAGAGAAATTTCTTCTTTGTCCAGATTATTGCATACTGAATAACTTCTAATTTTACCTTATAAGGCACCTTAATAATTTATCTCTTTTTTTGTTTATTTATTTTAGACCGATTGTATCAAAATGTATGAATAATATTGTTTGGAAAATAAGTGTTAGGTTTGGATTAATACTTGGGTAAGAACTGACATTTATCAGAATTTCTTCTTGTATTTCAGGCAATCATAGCCATTGCCTTTTTCTTTTGTGTCAAATGGATGAGCGTATATGCATCAAGTGAAGAAAATGTCACCTTCCATTGTCACAGATAATATATAATAGGCATGTGAAGTGAGTGATAAACATAAACGAAATATATATTTCTTTATTTGATGTAGAAAGAAATATATCAGTAAACAAATTGGTTTGTTAATGGAATGCTTATGTTACTGTTTTAATTTAATTGTTCTATATTTGCATAAGTAATTATTTTGTTCATAGTGTTTAATTTTATTTTTTTTAGAATGGATTCAAGTATTGCAAGTAGTGGAGATGATGAATTTCTAAGGAAGCCATTATGGAAATATGTTACCAAAGTAGGCACCACAACGGAAGCAGGAAGGAATTCTTGGAAATGCAATTTTTGTGAAAAGGATTTTAAAAGTTTGTATACTAGAATAAGGGCTCATTGCTTAAAATAGCAGGTAAAGGAATTGCAAAATGTTTACATGTGCAGACAAAAGACTTGCTAGAGATGGAGAAATTAGAACAAGAAACTAGAGATTGAAGAGTAATGCACTCAAAAATGTGCCTTTACCCCCTTCTAGTTTTTCCGTAGAATCAAACTCGACAAAAAGAAGAAGTGGAAGTGAGGGTGGAAGTTCATCTAGAAATCCTATTGAGAGGGCATTCAATGTTGGGGCGCGAGAAAAATTGAACCACTTGGTTGCTAGGATGTTTTATTCAGCAGGATTGCCATTCATTTTAGCAAGGAACCCATACTTTCAAGCAGCCTTCACTTTTGCTACAGATAATAATATTGGAGGTTATTTGCCACCAGGATATAACTCCTTGCGAACCACTCTTTTGCAGAAAGAGAAGGAAAATATTGATAGGTTGTATGCACCTATTCGAGCTGGGTGGAAAGACAAGGGTGTTAGCATTGTGAGTGATGGATGGAGTGATTCACAAAGGAGGCCACTTATTAATTTCATGGCAGTATCTGATGGTGAAGCTATGTTTTTGAAATCAGTTGATTGTTCAGGAGAGACTAAGGATAGGCATTTTATTTTCATGTTGTTAAAAGAAGTAATTCAAGAAGTTGGGCATGAAAAAATGGTTCAAGTAATCACAGATAATGCTGCAAATTGTAAGGGAGCAGGGCATCTTATTGAGCAAGAATTTCCATCTATTACTTGGACACCATGTGTTGTTCACACACTGAATTTAGCTGTGAAAAATATTTATGCTGCAAAAAATGTGGAGAATAATCAAATAGCATATGAGGAATGTAGTTGGATTTCTGATATTGTTGGAGACGTTTCTGCAATAAAGCACTTCATAATGAATCATTCTATGAGATTGTCAATGTTTAATGAGTTTGTGGGATTGAAGTTGCTTTCTATAGCTAAAACCCGCTTTGCTTCTATGATTGTGATGCTAAAGAGGTTCAAATTGATAAAATGTGGTCTCCAAAATATGGTAATCAGTGAAAAATGGAGTTTGTATAAAGATGATAATCTAGGGCGGGCAAGAATGGTTAAAGATAAGATATTGGATGATCTTTGGTGGGATTCAATTGATTATATACTTGCTTTCACTACTCCTATTTATAATATGATCAGGATTTGTGACACTGATAAACATTGTCTTCATTTGATTTATGATATGTGGGATGAGATGATTGAGAAAGTGAAGAAAGCTATATACTTTCATGAATTGAAGAGGATGGATGAGACCTCAACTTTTTATGAGGTGGTGCATGGCATTCTTGTGGATCGTTGACCAAAAATTCAACTCCACTTCATTGTTTGGCACATGCTTTGAATCCCAAGTAAGCTTTTAAATATGAATGAATTTAATACTTCTCTTATTTGATATAATTTGTTTAATTGTTTTTCTTTCAGATACTATAGTGTACAATGGCTTAACGAAGATTCTAGTCGAGTTCCTCCACAAGGATTTAGAGATTAATCAAGAAAGACAAAAATGCTTAAAGAGATACTTTCCTAACTTGGAGGACCAAAATAAAATAAATTTGGAGTATGTGGACTTTGCTAGTATGAGTGGGGGCTTTAGAGATTATGATGCCATGCAAAATCGATATTCTATGGAGCCCAAAGCTTGGTGGGTGCTTCATGGTGCTTGTTCACCTATGCTTCAAAAGATAGCATTGCGACTTGTTGCACAACCTTCTTCTTCATCCTGTGCTGAACACAATTGGAGTACTTATTCTTTTGTGCATTCTGTAAGAAGGAATAAGATGACTCCAAAATGTGCTAAAGACTTGGTTTATATACATAGCAACCTTCGGCTCTTATCAAGAAAGACTTCACAATATACACAAGGGGATAATAGAATGTGGGACATTGCTGGAGATACATTTGAAGATGTTGGAATTCTTGAAGTTGCTACTCTTTCACTTGATGAGCCAGAGATGGAGTCAAATGTTATTCTAGATGAAGATGCTCCATGAAGGTATTCTGTAATCTCCATATTTTATGTTTCTCTATGGATATGCTATTATTTTTGCTTTAGATCAATATAATGGTATTATGGAAATGAATTTTTTTTGGTTAAATTGATGGATATTATTAGTTTAGTTTTATTTTTTTGTTAAATTATTGAATACTAAATGAAATATAAACTATATAAATTAAAAATATTATTTAATATTAAAACGTGTCCCAACGTGTCGAAATTCATATTTTTTTAGGATTGATGTGTCGGAGTGTCGAGTTGTGTCGTGTCACGTGTCGAGTTGGTGCTACTTAGCGTGCCTTCATCCAACAACTTAAGTTTTTGAGAAAGTGGGTTGATGACAGCTAGAATAGAATGAGAACAAAGCAAAGGTGGTGGAGTGGCATAAATGGTAGCTATTGGTTGGGGCAAATGTGAGGACAATGGGTTGATTGGGGTCACATAGGCAGTTGCAGGATGGTGGGATGTTGTGGCAAAGGGCAGTGGGGGCTAGCCTCCTTATTAGCTCGTTCACATTCCAATTCCAGAGAACCAATTGTAACTTAAGTATTTTTCTGGCACTTTTCCCAATTTAGTTTTCCCTTTTCAAATATATCTGAAACTAATTAACAATGTCACAAAATTTCTAAATGAACTATCTGAGATTGTCCACACAGCAACAAAGTTATTAAGAAATGATAGAAACAGAAGCAGTTATCTTGTATAGCTATAGGAATCCCTGATAATAGATATTCAGTGATTAATGAATGTCCACAAGAGTGTGTTTAGCTTGTCCAACCAACCTCAACAACAGACAACTCATATTTCTAAAGGAATTACAAAGCGGTAAATATCCATTAAAGGTCTAACTAATATGTCCATATTATAAGAAATCCAAAGACCAGCTGGATGTCTTTCAAAGCAAGTTTTATTCAATAAACCCAAGTTTATAGGGATATTATTAATGTTTGAACAGATTAATATTTTAATCAAGCACCAAATAGGCCTCAAGCATCTAATCTCCAGTTAGATAAATTTGTTATTATAACAACATACACCACTTTATAGTGTTCTCTGACTGGTAAGAAACTTTTTACCATCTAATTTTCATTAAATGCATGAAATGGAGGACCATTAAATAATGGATGCAGACAAAAGACCCTAGGTACCTTCCGAACATCCGCACTATGGTTTCCAAAAGCTTCAAACAAAGCAGGCAGAAATGATGGTAACTGAGCTATCAGTTCCTCCTGAGATAGCCGGCCTACAAGCTGAGGGGAATAATATGAAGTTAAACAAGATATATGTTTATGAATGTACAAAAAATGGTCACTTCCTATGTGGTACAATATGATACAGGTAAGGGATACAGTGAGTTATTAAAAATATAGGATATGGTACAGAAAAATTACATGAACACCAATTTATAGAGAAAAAAGGAATTACTTTTCAGTATGAGCTAGTGATATGAGATCTACTAATTGACTTCTACTTACTAACTGATTTTCCTGATTATGAAAATTTAAAACCAGATATAGTCAATATAAAGTATGCATAGCAATTAACATTCATGAAAGAAGGAATCAGGGAATCGTGTGTTCAGGATCGTGTTGACAAAGCAGTTGTTCAAAATATCAAAGAATTGACTTATTGGCTGGAGTAACGAAGAGGTACCTGCTACGACTTGTATTTGATATGAAGGATTGGAAGTATATTCTCAAAGGAATATACCAAGGCAACAATCAGAAAATATCTAAAAAGTTAGTAATTGTTGTATAGGGTCGGTTAGATGGGTTAGTTAGTAGTTAGTTGGTTAGGGACTTATGTGGGAAGCCTAGGAAGCTGTATACAAGGGAGGTACACCGGATTGATGGACATATTTTGAGAGTATATTGAGTTGGGCCGATTGTGCTCAGTTGAAGGGGAGTGCCCCTTGGGAAGAGATATTCTCTCTTGTATGTTTCGCTGTAGTTCATCAACAAATTCCATACTTTTCTTCACTTTCTCATTTTTTCCTTAATTTTCTTCTTTTGTTCCCATATTACTATCCCTTTAAAAACTAAAGTCATAACAAGTGGTCTGACCTGCCAAATCTTGGAGGAGGCTACCATGGACGCCAATTTTGGAGCTGTGGAGAGTTCAATAGATATTTTGAAGAGGGAGACCAGTGAAGATGATTCTTGGGATTCCAAGATTGCAGAGAATAAGGAGATATTGTTGATATTGCTAAAGATCCCAAAAAGTGAGTGGGAGAAAGAAAAAGGGAAGAAGCTATCCACTTAAAGCAAGAAGAAGCAATCTTGGGAAGTGGAGGAAACTTTTTCTCCCATGGGTGTTTATGGGACGATAACAAAGTGCTGCACCCATGAAGAAGAAACAAAAACGTTGCGTGTGTTGCAAAAAATGCAAGAAGTTGATGCTAAAGAGGAAATCAAGAAGGCACAACCTTCGACATAGGAGGGTTTTTCTGTCTGTCATGGGTGTTGGTGATGACAAAACAGAGCACAACACTAAGAACGAAAGAGGAACAAAGACGTCAGATGAGATGAAAGAAAAGTTGTCAGCACCAAGAGTGAAGCACATTGAGGGTGAAGACGAAGATGGGTCTCAGGTTTTTTCTAATAGGCCCAAAAAGATTCTCAAGTCGTTTTTGATCAATGTGTGATTCAAATCCAGAAATCACGAGGCAAAAAACATAATAATAGTGACAAAAAAACTGCAAGGAGAAATAAACACGAAGGCACTAACGGAAAAGGAAGATTGAAGAGCAAAAATATTTTTTGTGGAGAATAAGGTGGAGAAGATGGTGGTAGAAGATCACGATACAACAATATCAGTTGAACCCATATCACTTAAGTTAGAAGTATTGCATATCAGTAGCAGGATAGAGGAACTGGATGGAGGGATGACGAAAACTAAGATAGGAGATGAAGGTGGAAAGGCAACAATGGTTTGCCATTTGCAGAATCTAAGTGCGAAGTGAAACGAGGATTGAGGAGAAAGAAAGGAGAGCTCCACCAAAACCACCAGATCCAAAGTTGTTCATGGAGGACGGTGGAGTCGCAGTCCCACTAATAGTAGCAAAACCAAATGTGATAGAAATGGAATTTCATGACACTTGTTGAGGCACTAAGTTGAGTTTCTGATTTAGACGTCCGTTATGGAAATTCAGGAACATTTTAGGTGGAGGCACAATATCTCGAAGTGGGCCATCTAAGTTAGGTCCCATGGGTCTATAACCAAGTCCATGCGAGACTCGACATTTGAAAGGCCAAGATTAGAGTGAATAGTGAATGTAGTTTATTTTGCACATGAAGCCACCATTCTCTATGTATGTTGGGGCAATGTTTGGATGGTGTGGGCAATGATGAATGTGGGGTTCACGTCAAGATTCCTATCGGCCAGGTCCAAGTTTATATCCGCAAATGGTCGTAGTGGAAATATGACAAACTTGATTTTGGGCCTGAGCATCAATTCTTGTGGGGCTTCAGAAACACCGAATTCGTATCTTTCATTTTCAAATCCCTCATCATCATTCATTTTGACATTTTCGCCATATCCCCACCCATCATGCCCCTAGAATCCTTGGCCATCCTCAGTTTTGACTCCAGCTCCACCACTCACATCCTCTTCAATCTCTACCCTGAAGTAGTTTTTGGTTGGGAGTTCGACACCTCTGTCATTCAGGTGGGTAGAGTCTTTCATCTTTGCGAGGCTTAAGAAAAAACATCCATATAGGCTTTTCATACTATTGTGGTAGAAAGGAGTCTTTCGTGAACAAATCCACCGAAATCCCAAGGAACATGTTTGACAAATTGACGCTCAATATGGAACCTCTTGGTAGAAACTAAGAAAAAAATGTGTCTATAACAAAGCCTATAAAGGTGTATCGCAGGCGTTCCCGTAAAGGACCCGAGGAGTTGGCAGCTGCTAAAATGGATGTCAATAGAGATTAGGTGGCAACTGAGGAGGAAACTGATGTGGCAGATGAGGATAGTGGAAGGAATATGTAATTAATTATTGTTAGAGAGGTATAGTGCGTGTGTGAGAGGGGAAGGTTGTTATATGGGGGTGTGTTGTGGTGAGTGAGTAGTCAGTTAGTGAGGAGTTAGATGGAGAGAATAGAGCACTCTCGAATTGCTCTAGGTGTAGTTGCGAGCTGAATCTGCTGGTTATATTGTTGTTTTCTATTAATTCATATATATGAACAGAGGTTATACATAAGTTCTTGATTTCTTTTGCCTTATTCTTTCTATTACTGAGTGTTGATTTTACAGTGTCATAGAGATATCACGTGCTAAGCAAGTTCAATCAATTAGCTACACAAGGGGAGAAAAGGCATTAGCCCTCATTGGAACGGTCGTCGCAAATGAAGGAATGGTTATCAATCTCGGTAAAGAAATTTTCTCAATGACAAATGCTATAACAACGAGGGATATCCTTGGTAGAAAGTGTGGAGACTGAGAATCATTTATGTCAACTATAGATATAATATTGAAGCCGACAGGAGGTTTCCCTGTTGCTGTTTTTCATTCTTCAATCAAAGTGCATCCATTTATTTTAGGATTATAGCTAAATTAGAAACACAATGGGAAGAGATTGCAACAGCCACCGGAAAATATCATATAGTCTCTTCAACTCATATCAATCTCATGGATGATTTCCTTGAGATGGAAAGGCTTGCTGAATTGGCAGACCCAAAAGGCAGGAGCCAATTTTGGGGTGCAGAAATGGCATCAGTTCCGTCTAAAGTTGGTCAGGATACAATGCAAGCTGTGGTGGAAGTCTATTTGTGTAGCTTCATTTTTGTACGATCAAAGGACGAGTATACTGGCTTATATTGGGCAGAATATTGGGACATCAATCGTCTCTTGAGTACAACACATTTTTCCCATCTTGAGGTGGCTGTGGACAACTTCTAGGGCCAAGATCTGTATTCCTACAAAGGGAACCAGTGGCTGAGGTCCTTGTCCCATGGCAGCATCAACCTCTGACAGAGGCATCCTGTGAGGATATCACTACAATGCACCACCATGCAAGGCCAATTTCCATATTAAAAACCTTGGGGACAAGATTATTTTAGGGGGGGTGGTCTTGTTACGACTTGTATTAGATATAAAGGGTTGGAGGTATATTCCTTTGGGGAGAGATATTCTCTCGTCTGTTTTGTTGTAGTTCATCAATAAATTCCATACTTTCCTTCACTTTCTCAATTTTTTTCCTTTAGTTTCTTCTTTTGTTACCATATTACTATCCCATTAAAAACTAGAGCCGTAACAGTACCCATGCTGTATCCATAATAAAAAATAAAAATAAATCAGCAGTACACTCACAGGATACTTTTTATAAGTATCATAAGCATATTGGTAATGGATACGAGTACAAAGGGGATACTTTCCCCATTTTGAAGCATCATTGCTTCAGGGCACTTCCTTCTAAAACAGAATGAGGTTTTTAAAAAAAATAAGTATATTAGAAAGTGGAATTTATTTAAATCGTGTTTTATTAGAAACCATCACTTGAAGCAAAACTGACAAAGGGTTGCTCAAGACAAAATTACCTTTGTCAAGCAATTTATGCAAGTGACAAGAGTTTTCTCATCCTCGGTAACCAGTAGAGGAACAATAACCTGAAACATTTTAAATTCTGAGCATCAGCTTTAAGTTTTAAGTTAATAATGCAAATCCCCGTCCCCTTCTTATGCAAAGCATTTCACAAGAAGGAAGGAGGGCCAAAAAGTAGAAAAATCAAGAAATACATACACTTAAACATCTGAATGGATCGTCCTGAGATAAAACAATGGTCACGCAGTGCTCTGCTTCATTTGAGACCTGAAGAAGGGAGGGATGAAAATTGGTGAGACTAGGAAAAGAAAGCAACCATATAAAAGACAACTATAACAGGAACAATTGGTTACCTTGGGATCAATATCGTTAGTAACACAAAGCAACTTTTCAATAACAATCTCAACTGAATTTCCCATGGCATCTTTCTGGAAACAATAAACAGAAAGATAAAACAATCTCTTATTATATCTCAAAATGCCCACAAGTGGAGAATTACGTGCGGTTGCAAGTACTGATACGAGCAAGGAATGGCACAAAAAGGAGTAAGAACCTGGTTTCTAAGCATTTCAACAGTCAATGAAAGAGCAAGCTCTCTTATTGAGGAATCTGAATCATCCAGCACCTCAAGCACAACTGTCAAAATCTGATTGAAGTACTGCAATTACACCATGAAACTATCATTACAAAAAGAAGACACCCAAATATATTGTTGTAGGAAATCAGGATTCAAATATTTCTGTTTTTATTTCCTATTAATTAGGATTGATTGATTAGGATTGATTATGATTGATTGATTAGGATTGATTAGCCATCGCTGAGTCATTCTGAGCGATTCTTTCTTGTATAAATACTCCTTATGTAATTTATTCAAAACAAAGAAATACAAAAGTCTTTATGGTATCAAGAGCGGGTTTGTTCCTACCCTAAATCAGCCATCTTCAAGGCTGAAATACCGTCCAAACATCATCAAAAACACCTCCTCAATTATGTCCAAACCCATAAACCTTATCTGCAGACCTCCAATCAAGAAAGTGAAGTGACCATTCGACTCAGAAGGCTCCGACGAGTTGAATGCCACTGGACCCATCACCGTCAACCGCCGCACGCGCCGCCACGCGCTCGGCCAGCTTCCGGCGCATGAGCTCCATGTGCCACCTTCCTGGCGTCTTTTTCCGCCGCGAATTGCACAGAACCTCTCAAGTCTTCTTCCTTCATGTCTTCCTCAGAGCGTTCTTCTGCTTCCTCATCTGTTCCCAATACTCAGTTCTCTGGAGACAACTTAAGTATGCAGATTACTAGTCACCGGATGAACGGTAAAAATTTTCTGCAATGGTTTCAATCTGTTAAGTTGGTGATCCGGGCAAAAGGTAAGATGGGTTATCTTGAGGGAAAAATTAAGAAACCTGTTGAGGATTATCCTGATTATGAAAATTGAGAGATTAATAATTCCTTGGTAATGGCATGGCTGACTAATTCTATGGAACCACATATTGGTCAAACCTATTTGTTCTTTGATACTGCCAAGGAGATTTGGAATGTTGTTCAACAAAATTATTCAGATCTGGAGAATACCTCTCAAGTCTTTGAACTGAGAAATAAGTTGAGAGACTTTCGTCAAAGGGGTATGACCATTACTGAATATTTTACTGCACTAACAAATTTATGGCAGGAACTGGATCTTTATTATGCATCCGATCTTAAAGGATTGGAAGCGAATACCCAGTTTAAAAAACACTTGGAAAAGGAACGACTTTATGATTTCCTTACTGGCCTCAACCGAGATCTTGATGAGGTTCGTGGTCGAATATTGGGGCAACGACTGTTACCCTCACTTGCTAATGCCTTTGCTGAAGTTCGTAGAGAAGCAAGTAGACGAAGAGTTATGATGGGAGAAAATGAGTCAATTGATAAGTCTGATGATATGTCAGCATTGGCTGCCAAACGTACCATTGACCGTTCCTCTGGAGAATCAAAACAGGATGGTCGTCCATGGTGCACCCACTGCAATAAAATTGGTCATACCCATGAGAAATGTTGGGAAATCCATTGGAAGCCAAAAGGACAGAATAAAGGTCGTGCATATCAGGTCTCTACTGATGACAAGGTTGATGAGCCTCGTGCATACTCTGACTCTGATGGTGTCTTTCTTAGCAAAACTCAGTTTGAACAACTTCAGAGACTTCTGACTCAACCTCCTAAGGCCACTAGTAATGTGGCCCAGCAAGGTACAGCTCAGGCCCAGCAATGTTGATAGTTAAAATCATTGGATCCTTGATTCTGGAGCCTCTGACCATATGAGAGGTAATCTGAGCTTGTTCTGTTCATACACTCCATACTCTGAACCCTTTCGGGTCAAGATCGCCGATGGCAGTTTTTCCCAGATTGCAGGACACGGAACCATTAAACTTTCTGAGCTGATTAATTTAACATCAGTTCTTTATGTTCCTTCTCTGGCTTGTAATCTTATTTCCATAAGCAAGCTGACTTCTGAGTTGCATTGTTTTGCTAAATTCTTTCCTCATGGTTGTGTTTTTCAGGAATAGGACTCGGAGAGGATGATTGACAGTGCTAGAGAGGATGGTGGACTTTAATACTTTGAGGAGGATGTGACTCATGAAGCTGATTTTGTGGAAAAAGACTCTATGTTTCCTTTTGATTCATGTAATGATGTCATGCTGTGGCATCGTAGGCTAGGCCATCCAAATTTTAACTATTTCAAAAGTTGTTACCAAACTTATTTATTAATAAAAGTCCTAGTTTGTTTTCTTGTGACATTTGTCAACTTGCTAAGCATACTCGTGTTCATTATCCTTCTAAAGTTCACCATGATTCTTCCCCATTTTCTTTAATTGATGACCATTCCAGGTGCTCGATGGTTCATTACCTTCATTGATGACCATTCCCGAGTTTGTTGGGTACACCTTCTAAAGGACAAGTCAGATGCTGCATCCAGTTTTAAAAAGTTTCAAGCCATGGTTCAAACCCAATTCCAAGTTGCTATACAAATTCTGCGTACAAATAATGGCAAAGAGTATTTTAACTCTATTCTTGGAGAATGAATATCTTTCCCAACATGGCATCCTTCACCAAAGCTCGTGTCCTGACACACCCCAACAAAAAGAAGTTGCGGAAAGAAAAAACCGACATCTCCTTGAAGTTGCTCGGGCTCTTATGTTCACTATGAGTGTTCCTAAATACCTTTGGGGGGAAGCCGTTCTCACTGCCTCGTATCTGATCAATCGAATGCCATCTCGCATTCTCAAATTTCAGTCTCCTCTTTCTAGTCTTTTCCGCACCTTCCTTCCTTCCGAGGCGTCTCCTCCCTACCTCTCAAGTTATTTGGTTGTGTTGTATTTGTTCATATTCCCTCTCATCAACGGTCTAAGCTTGATCCTAAGTCTCTCCGGTGCGTCTTTGTTGGTTATTCTCCTACTCAACATTGCTATAAGTGTTATTCTCCCTTTCTTCGTAAGGTCTTTGTCTCTATGGATGTCACATTTTCTGAGACTCAACCTTTCTTTTCCTTGACTTCTCTTCAGGGGGAGTCTATAGGAGCAGATGAAGATCAGTCATAGGAACCTACTGATGCCACAGTATTACCTCAACTATTGGAAACAGGGGGAGCTACAGAATCCTCACCATCCGGAGCCTCCTCAAAGTAGGGACAAGTTTATAGCAGGCGAAAGCCTCCTCAAAGTGTAAATAACCCAGAGCCTCTATATTTCCAGGATTCTGAACCATGTTCTAGTTCCAACACCCCAACACTTGAGTGCCATGATAAAAATGATCTACACTTGCCTATTGCTCTCAGAAAAGGTACTCGATCTTGTACTACTCATCCTATTTCTAATCATATTTCATATGCAAAGTTGTCCCCAGGGTTCCGTGCTTTCAATACTATCTTGGATAGTACAAAGATACCGAGAAATATACATGAGGCTCTCGATGATCAAAAATGGAGGGATGCTGTCTTTGAAGAAATGAATACTTTAGAAAGAAATGGAACTTGGGAGATAGTGACCCTACCAAAGGGAAAACAAGTAGTAGGATGCAAATGAGTGTTTACAATAAAATTCAATGCAGATAATAGCATTAACAGATACAAGGCAAGAATGGTTGCAAAAGGGTTCCAGCAGACTCATGGGATAAATTATCATGAGACTTTTGCTCCAGTTGCTAAAGTCAATACCATCCGAGTTCTCTTATCACTCGCTGCCAATACTAGATCCGCCTCTGCAACAGTTGGATGTGAAGAATGCATTCCTAAATGGTGACTTACATGAAGAAGTCTATATGGATCCTCTATCTGGTTTTGAAAAGGGAAATGAATAAGTGTGTAAACTAAAAAAGTCTCTATATGGGTTGAAACAGTTTCCTAGAGAATGGTTTGACAAATTCACACAAGCTGTCAAAAGAAGAGGCTTTATTCAAGCACAGACTGATCACACTCTCTTCCACAAACACTCTAAGGATGGTAAAATTGCTATTCTTATTGTGTACGTAGATGACATAATTCTTACAGGTGACGATATTGAGGAATTGAACTCCTTGAAGAAGTATCTAGCAGCTCAGTTTAAATTAAAGGATATTGGCACTCTCAAATATTTCCTTGGTATGGAAGTTGCTAGGAGCAAAACAGGCATCACTCTCACGCAAAAGAAATATGTTCTAGATCTTTTGTTGGAAACTGGAATGTTAAGGTGTAAGCCTGCTGATACACCTGTGGAACCTAATACCAAGTTAGGTATTGAAGATGGGAATGAGGTGGATAAAGAACAATATCAAAGATTGGTTGGCAAACTAATTTACTTATCTCACACGCGTCTTGACATTGCCTTTGCGGTGAGTATGATTAGTCAATTCATGCACTCACCCAAGGAGAAGCATCTTAGTGCAGTCTATAGGGTGCTCAGATAGCTCAAGAACACTCCAGGAACAGGATTATTCTTTAAAAAGGGGTATAAAAGGACGATTGAAATCTACACTAATGCAGATTGGGCAGGCTCATCAGTAGACAAGAGATCTACCTCAGGCTATTGCACCTATGTGTGGGAAAATCGTGTTATTTGGAGAAGCAAAAAGCAAACAGTGGTTGCAAGAAGTAGTGCTGAAGTAGAATTTCGAGCTTTAGCTCATGGAGTTTGTGAAGGAATCTGGTTGAGAAGACTTCTTCAAGAGTTGAAGATTTCATATTCCCTACCAATAAAACAACTATATTGTGACAACAAGGCAGCTATCAGTATTGCTCAAAATCCTGTGCATTATGATCGAACAAAGCACGTGGAAGTTGATCGCCACTTCATCAAAGAAAAATTAGATGATGGAAGTGTGCGTATGTATGTTCCTACCAAAGAGCAGACTGCAGATATCCTTACAAAGGGCCTACACCGTCCAACATTCGAAGACTTGATTGGCAAGTTGGGAATGATCAACATTTACCTCCCAACTTGAAGGGAAGTGTAGGAAATCAGGATTCAAATATTTCCGTTTTTATTTCCTATTAATTAGGATTGATTATGATTGATTAGGATTGATTATGATTGATTGATTAGGATTGATTAGTCATCGCTGAGTCATTTTGAGCGATTCTTTCTTGTATAAATACTCCTTATGTAATTTATTCAAAACAAAGAAATACAAAATTCTTTATTGTTCAATGTTGTTTGACATAATATAACAAATTAGGGATTTTTTATTTTTTGCAAGCAGAACTTCTCTATTTAATGATCTCGCAGCAGATAGCAATCAAAGAATCAGAAAATTATCTACTATACAACTAGGAATTTCTTCTTGGAGAGCATATTGGAAAAAAAAAATTAGAATAGCATTAGATAATATTGACGATCAAATCAAAAACATTGGTGTGACAACAAGAAACCACATTTGTATGATTATAAGTTCGATACTGTAGAAAATCAGATTTCAAATATGTTTCCGTTTTTTATTTCCTATTAATTATGATTGATTAGGATTGATTGTGATTGATTAGAATTGATTAGTCATCGCTGAGTCATTCTTAGCGATTCTTCCTTGTATAAATACACACTCATGTAATTTATTCAATATCAATATACAGAAACCTTTTTTCAATATGGTATCAAGAGCGGGTTCGTTCCTACCCTAAATCAGCCACCTTCAAGGCTGAAATCATCCCAAAACCACCCAAACACAATCCAACCTAAACCCAAATCCCAGAAAACCATACCTACAGACCTCCAATCAAGAAGGTGGAGGTACCATTCAACTCAGAAGGCTCCGACGAGTTGAACGCAGCCGGACCCGTCGCCGTCATACCTCCCACGCGCGGCTCCTCTCTGGCTCGTGTAGTCCACGCGCCGCCTTCCTGGATTTTTTTCCCGGCGCGAGCTGCCCAGATCACCTCGTCGGCCTCCTCTGTCCCCGTTCCAGTGGTCAAATATCAAATCGGAGGAAAAACGTTTTTGGGGTCCACGGTCAAACCTTCACTTTCTACTCATGGCTTCCTTGAATCGTTCTTCTGCCTCCTCATCTGCCCCAAAGTCTCAACCCTCTGGAGACAACTTAGGTATGCAGATCACTAATCACCGGATGAACGGTAAGAATTTTTTGCAATGGTTTCAATCGGTTAAGCTGGTCATCCGGGCAAAGGGTAAGATGGGCTATCTCCAGGGAAAAATTAAGAAACCTACTGAGGATTCTCCTGATTATGACGATTGGGAGATTAATAATTCCTTGGTCATGGCTTGGCTGACTAATTCCATGGAACCACAGATTGGCCAAACCTATCTGTTCTTCGATACTGCCAAGGAAATTTGGGAAGCTGTTCAAAAAAATTACTCAGATCTGGAGAATACCTCTCAAGTCTTTGAACTGAGAAATAAGTTGAGAGACTTTCGTCAAAGGGGTATGACTATTACTGAATATTTTACTGCACTAACAAATTTATGGCAGGAATTGGATCTTTATTATGCATCTGATCTTAAGGGATTGGAAGCTAATACCCAATTTAAAAAACACTTGGAGAAGGAAAGACTATATGATTTCCTTGCCGAACTCAACCGAGATCTTGATGAGGTTCGTGGTCGAATATTGGGGCAGCGACCGTTACCTTCACTTGCTGACGCCTTTGCTGAAGTTCGTAGAGAAGCCAGTAGACGGAGAGTTATGCTGGGAGAAAAGGAGTCGCTTGATAAGTCTGATGATATGTCTGCATTAGCTGCCAACCGTACCATTGACCGTTCCTCTGGAGAATCAAAACGGGATGGTCGTCCATGGTGCACCCACTGCAATAAAATTGGTATACCCGTGAGAAATGTTGGGAAATCCACGGGAAACCTGCAAATTGGAAGCCCAAAGGACAAAATAAAGGTCGTGCATATCAGGTCTCTACTGATGACAAGGTTGATGAGCCCCATGCATCCTCTGACTCTTATGGTGACTTTCTTAGCAAGACTCAGTTTGAACAACTTCAGAGACTTTTGACTCAACCTCCTAAGGCCACTAGTAATGTGATCCAGCAAGGTACAGCTTTCCATGTTGATAGTCAAAATCATTGGATCCTTGATTCTGGAGCCTCTGATCATATGACAGGTAATCTTGGCTTGTTTTGTTCATACACTCCATATTCTGAACCCTCTCGGGTCAAGATCGCCGATGGCAGTTTTTCCCAGATTGCGGGACACGGAACCATTAAAATCTCTGAGCTGATTAATTTGACATCAGTTCTTTATGTTCCTTCTCTGGCTTGTAATCTCATTTCCATTAGCAAGCTAACTTCTGAGTTGCATTGCTTTGCTAAATTCTTTCCACATGGTTGTGTTTTTCAGGAAAAGGACTCGGAGAGGATGATTGGCAGTGTTAGAGAGGATGGTGGACTTTACTACTTTGAGGAGGATGTGACTCATGAAGCTGTTTTCGTAGAAAAAAACTCTTATGTTTCCTTTTGATTCATGTAATGATGTTATGCTGTGGCATCGTAGGCTAGGCCATCCAAATTTTATTTATCTTCAGAAGTTGTTACCAAACTTATTTATTAATAAAAGTCCTAGTTTGTTTTCTTGTGATATTTGTCAACTCGACAAGCATACTCGTGCTCATTATCCTTCTGAAGTTCACCATGACTCTTCCCCATTTTCCTTAATTCAAAGTGACATATAGGGTCCAGCCCGTGTTAAAAATATTTCAGGTACTCGATGGTTCATTACCTTCATTGATGACCATTCCCGAGTCTGTTGGGTATATCTTCTAAAGGACAAGTCTGACGCTGCATCCGTGTTTAAAAAATTTCATGCCATGGTTCAAACCCAATTCCAAGTTGCTATACAAATTCTTCGTACAGATAATGGCAAAGAGTATTTTAACTCTATTCTTGGAGAATATCTTTCCCAACATGGCATCCTTCACCAAAGCTCGTGTCCTCACACACCCCAACAAAACGGAGTTGCGGAAAGAAAAAACCGACATCTCCTTGAAGTTGCTCGAGCTCTTATGTTTACTACGAGTGTTCCTAAATACCTTTGGGGAGAGGCAGTTCTCACTGCCTCGTATCTGATAAATCGAATGTCATCTCGTATTCTAAAATTTCAGTCTCCTCTTTCTAGTCTTTTTCGTACCTTCCCTTCCTTCCGAGGCGTCTCCTCCTTACCTCTCAAGTTATTTGGTTGCGTTGTATTTGTCCATATTCCCTCCCATCAACGATCTAAGCTTGATCCTAAGTCTCGCCAATGTGTCTTTATTGGTTATTCTCCTACTCAACGTGGCTATAAGTGTTATTCACCCTCTCTTCGTAAGGTCTTTGTCTCTATGGATGTCACCTTTTCTGAGAATGACCCTTTCTTCCCCTTGACTTCTCTTCATGGGGAGTCTATAGGAGTAGATGAAGATCAGTCATGGGAACCTACTGATGCCACAGTATTACCTCTACTTTTGGAAACAGGGGGAGCTACAGAATCCTCACCATCAGAAGCCTCCTCAAAATGGGGACAAGTTTATAGCAGGCGAAAGCCTCCTCAAAGTGTGAATAACCTAGAGCCTCTACATTGCCAGGATTCTGAACCATATTCTAGTTCCAGCACCCCAACACTTGAGTGTCATGGTGAAAATGATCTACACTTGCCCATTGCTCTCAGAAAAGGTACTCGATCTTGTACTACTCATCCTATTTCTAATCATATTTCATATGGAAAATTGTCCCCGGGGTTCCGTGCTTTCAATACTATGTTGGATAGTACAAAGATACCGAAAAATATACATGAGGCTCTCGATGATCAAAAATGGAGGGATGTTGTCTTTGAAGAAATGAATGCTTTAGAAAGAAATGGAACTTGGGAGATAGTGACCCTACCCAAGGGAAAACAGGAAGTAGGATGCAAATGGGTGTTTACAATAAAATTCAATACAGATAATAGCATCAACAGATACAAGGCAAGATTGGTTGCAAAGGGTTTAACTCAGACTCATGGGATAGATTATCATGAGACTTTTGCTCCGGTTGCTAAAGTCAATACCATCCGAGTTCTCTTATCTCTTGCTGCCAACCTAGATTGGCCTCTGCAACAGTTAGATGTGAAGAATGCATTCCTAAATGGTGACTTACATGAAGAAGTCTATATGGATCCTCCACCTGGTTTTGAAAAGAGAAATGGATCAGTGTGTAAACTAAAAAAGTCTCTATATGGATTGAAACACTCTCCCAGAGAATGGTTCGACAAATTCACACAAGCAGTCAAAAGAAGAGGATTCATTCAAGCACAGACTGATCATACTCTCTTCCACAAACACTCTAAGGATGGTAAAATTGCTATTCTTATTGTATATGTAGATGATATAATTCTTACAGGTGATGATATTGAGGAATTGAACACCTTGAAGAAATTTCTAGCAGCTCAATTTGAACTCAAAGAACTTGGCACTCTCAAATATTTCCTTGGTATGGAAGTTGCTAGGAGCAAAACAGGCATCACTCTCACACAAAAGAATTATGTTCTAGATCTTTTGTTGGAAACAGGAATGTTAGTGTAAACCTGCTGAGACACCTGTGGAACCTAA